GAATGTGTCCTTTTTAGGTATGCACCAGAAAGAAAGTAACTTTACCAAGGCTACCAACTACTCCTTGTGAGCCTTGAACATGGGTGTGCTGCGTGATTTATACTGGTTCAGGTTAAATCGCTTTAATTAGATCTCAAGTTAGGAATTTCAGTTATGAACACAAGTGGTGGTGGTTTTCTGTTGAGAGCTGGGAGAAGCTGGTAAGAAAAGTGCCTTATCTTTCATCTTACTGAGCATCCTTTTTTTTCTTTTTTTTTTCAGTGAAATCTATTTTTTAAGTCAATAAAATGGTGATGAAGAAGGCCAAAAGAAAAACATTAGGAGGCTGAAATTGCCTGTTTACTTGCCAGATGCACTCTGCTTTGTCAACTGCGGTGTTGTTTTAGTTGGTTTTTTTTAACCTGTCGTGCTCCCTTTGCAGCATATACAGAATGATATGATAATGAATTGAAGAGTGAGTTCTGCCTATGCAAACTAAATACATCTCGATAAAAAAAAGTTTTTAGAACTATAGAATGTAAATAGAGGGAGAAAACACTGCTTCATGTTATTATTCCACTGGTGGATGCTGTTATGAGGATAATCCTCTATTACATAGTTAAAGGATCAATGATAAGGTTGTCCATTGTGCATTTTGTGTATTTCTATAGAAATATTAAATTTTACAGTGTATCTCTGTATCTGTTTCAGTTTACTCATTAACATCAGACAACTCGACAATAATGACTCAGGCTGCTATTTTCAGGGGGAAAAATGACAACGGTGCTTCTGGGCTGAAACCACCTCCTTCAGCAGCACTGCGATATTCAGGGCTATTTCGCTCTCCATCATGGACACCAGGATGTCTCGCACTGCTGTGCGTGAGGCTCACCCTCAGGCTTTGGCTCCTTATTTTAGATTGCTGTAGCAGTTTTTATAATTTCAGTATTTTATAAATAACGTACTTCTGGTGGAGTCAGTCTTTCTTACTCCTTAGCTGTCTGTTTACCTTTGCTTTCCTCTTTGGATTATTCGCTGCCCCTTTCCGTGTTGCTTTTCCGCCTGGAACTGGATGAGTGATCTCTCCCTGCCACCCTTCGTGCCTGGGTGGGCTTCCCTGGATGGGACTCCATGACTGTGAACAAGGAGAAGCTTTGTTCCTGGTGGGGTGGATTTCCTCTATGTTCCTTTACCTGGGGCCCAGTTTTTGCCTTGCTCTTCTCAGTTATCCTTGTTTTCCTTTCCTTCTTTCCTGTCTCCATTCTTCGGCCAAAGAGCAGACCTAATGAAGGATTTCAGCTTCTAAAAAACCTGTCAGTGCCCAAACCTTCATCCACCCAGGGAATTATAATATTGCCCGTCTCTGTTGTAGGGGATCTGAGCCCGTTGGTGTGCCTGTGGTTGCAAGAAGCATCCCACCAGGGGCTTCAGCAGAGAAGGGACTTCAAGTATCCCTTCTGTGCTGTCCCACCTTCATGTCTATCTCTTGGCTGCCAGCTCCCCTCATTTTCTGCCATGCAGAAAATGGCCAGGCCAAGCAGAGCATTCTGTAGATTCTCCAGAAAATTTCTCTGCCTCCCTTTTGGGGAAGGAGCTGGCAACTTTCGACAGGGAAACATGGAGTTGTATTCGGTAAAGACAGTACTTAGTCCCTGAAGTCTGAAAATGTAGGAAGGTGGGAGACAACTGTGAGAAACAGAAATGCCAGAAAAATGTGAAGGATTTGGCAGCCCATCTTTATGTCTACTGTGTTATCCTGCAGAACAGAATTGAAGACAAACATATGAATGTGCTAACATTGAAGTTATTGGATGCGAGTCTGCTTCTGAATTACTTTGTGGGATTTTAAATATTTTAGCTTCAAGGTTAATTTTTTTCTTGTTGTTCTGCTCTATTTAGTTTCTCTTCAGATGATAATAATGAAAAGTTACTATGCTCCAGAATAACTCCAAAACTCTGTCTTTAAAAATGCTCATTTGATGTTAGCATCCTTTGGCTAAAACCACGTCAGATATGATTGAGTGTTGTGAGATTGCCATTGCTTTGTGTCACCAGCCCAGGAACCAGACTAGTAATGAACCTTTAGGGAAATTCCATAATAAAAACACTGGTAGGAAGCTGGTTAATACCAGTCTAATGCAGTTAAACATTATCTTGAATACATACCTCTGCAACCCCTTTATAACTGTATCACCTGGACTACCCAGTCCATTTAACCATTATTATGCTGCTAAGAAGGGAAAATTAAAAGTACTTTGGATGCAAAAAGTTATCAAAAGTTGTCAGGTGTCAAAACAGAGAGATTATTTCAAATTCAGCCTCTTTATTCAGCATTGTGCTTACCTCTGATGAGAGATACGTCCTTCCTTGTCTGAAACTGCTTACAGCTTACAGCTGCAGTTCATATTGTGTGTACAGTCAAATCTTGTGTTTGCCCCTGCCAATACAAACCTGTATACTGTGGGCACACTGTTTACCATCATTACACATAATGCTGAATTTATTACAAAGCTGTTAAAAGTGACCTCTAATTTATCTATTCTAGTTAGTATAATATAACTATTGATCCTATTAGACTGACTGAACTAAAAAAATAGTTTCAGTAGTATGAAGCAAAATGAAATGTTACTTGGTGTAAATATATTGAGTATCTTGCCCAGGAAGATGGGACTCAAACAGAACACAGCCCTGAGCTGCTAACTCATTCAGACTGGTCTTTTTTTCTTGAACAGGAACTGAAGTCAAGCCATTACTTTGAAGTCTTGGCTGTATTTGATCCAGAACTGACCCGCTTCCTGCCTGCCTGTCTTCACACAAAGTATCTCTAGCCACTGCTCTTAAATCCTCACCTCCTCCCATGCCAACTCACGTCACCCACCTCCTGTTGGCCGCTGCATGGCAGCTCAGTGTCACAGGCTTTTCCCCTGCACCAAGATGTCATCCTCTGCTGGTCTTGGTTGCTTTGGAGCTCCATGCATGGACCAGTACAAGACAGACCTTTCCTGCCTGTGGTGTGAGGGATTCCCACTGCAGTACCCCTATATGTGACCTGGCTTGAGTGACCATACATCTGTATGCAGCTCTCCATACCTCCTCGTGTGCATTGCTGCCTGTTTGCACTGTAAGCCCAGACTTTTGTGGGATTGGAGGAGCAGAAGCGCACAGAGCAGAGGACTCTCCCGATGCCCTGGGGCAGCCAGGACAGTATGCAGACTATGGTGCAGCCCATCACACTCCTATCTTCCCTCACTCATGCCCAGGTTGGTGACAGGCTGCTCTGCACAGCAAAAGGAAGGAGATGGGAACACAGTCCAAGCTGACACTGAGAACCTGCTCCTGTCCCATAACCCATAAATCTTGTCTGAACAGGCAGTATAAGCAAGTTTGAGGTGGTTCATCGCCACGCAGGCTGGTTAACAAATATTTACTGACCTCCAGCCAAGCTAAACTGCAATCATGCTATCAAAGGTGGTATTTCTGACCTTTCTCTCATGGTGAAATGCAAGAGCATAGAAGTGAAAATTAATTCCTTTATTGATGAAAAAAGGCCAAGGCTTTGTGGTTTTCAAAACCTGGCTGTGATAAACATTGCCATGGCAATTAGACAGCGTCAGTGCACAGGGTGAGAGGGTGCTGGTTCTGTGCTTGTTCTGATCTTCCTTGGGCTTGTTGCCAGCACAGATGCTAAAGCTCACCCAAGGACCACAGTGCCTCCCTTCCCAGTGTAAAGCACCAGTCAGATTGTCATGCAGGTATCCATGTTTTGCAATCCAGAGCTATAAACATGTCAATAGAAACAGGAGTTTCTGAGTAGGCAGAAGATGGCATGCTGCTGCACACATACTGATATAGCTGTATACCTAATATTCTGTGATTCTGATATGTCCCTGTATCTTTGGACTTCACTTTTACTTGGCTTTCAAACTGATACAAAACTCATTTATCTTCAGTGAAGGCTGCATGTACTTTCTTTGTACTTCCAATCACATGTGCTGCTACAGCTTTTCTCGGTTTTTGTGGACCTCATGGGAAAACCCTTGTCCATCGAGAAGCTCGTGATCCACGTACCAGTTGCCTTGAGCTGTTGTAGGTACGCACCGTACTGTGCTGTGCTGTGCTGCACACATTGCTCAGGACTTTGCTGTGCTGGCCATATCCCTTGCCATGGGGTACCCTCAGCCACCTGATCGCAGTGGTGCCTGGTGGTGGCACCTACTTGGCACCAGTGGTGACACCACAAGCATGTCTTTATCTTTGTCTTGAGATGAAGCAACATGCTTCCATATAAACATCCAATTGAAAATCCTATAGAAACTCTAAAGACAACCATGCAGGTGAATCTCGCTCCTGACAGGAAGTCTGGGCAGTTTGCTGTGCCCTGATCACAGCTCTGCCTGACGCTGCATCATCTCAGGGTTCCAGCATCAGAAGGGATGTAAGATCTTGTAGCTTGCTGCCACCTTTTCTGGGATATTAATGAAGTAGTTACCTTTCTTGAGAGTGTTTGTCTTTCTTTTTGGGGGTCCAAAAAGTACCAGCACCTCTTGGTGCAAAGCCATATACCACTGATATTTGTGAATATAATTATATATTCTGTAGAGAAAAATCTGTTTCTAAATATACACCCAGCCAGTTAGGCCACCATTAATGCTGTACATCATTAAGTTGTAGCATAGTATTGTGTTGTGTGGGAAGAAATCCCAGGCTGAATCTATTTTTGACGTCTAATGGTTGATTTACAATGAGTTATAGTAGCAGGGTTCAAATGTTTGCTGATTATTGCTGAGCTGGACTACTATTAGGCCATTTAAAAAATAAAACTTGCAGTTCTAAGGGTTGAAGTTCCTTAGCAGACCCTGCTTGGCCTTTCAGCAAATTCATTGGATTCCCAGAACCAGTGCTCGCAGGCAGGGTTTGTGCTGCAGGGTGATGCCACCCACCACGATTGCTGCTTAATGGGGCTATTGACCTCTCCTTGCTGATTTTCCGCATTTCATGAGGCTCTTTATGTTGTGTTGCAGTGCTCAATATCTTTAAGTGTCTTCTTGGAGGAAACAATGAGAAACTAAATTGCCAGGTAGCAGGGAGCCTGCAGGAAACAAAAATTGATATGAAAAAGATAAATGAGCCACAAAACATGATCAGCTGGTTCAAGTACCAACTGTGTTGTGCTTGCAGAGGCATGTCTGGGCTCTGCAATATCTATTCTGTTCCTTAGAGAAGTTCAGTCTTCAGAAACTGGGCAAGAATGAGAGCCAGATTGGGCTGTCATTTTTCACAACTTCCCCAGGGTCGGTTTTGCCTGGCCTGGCCGTGGCCCGGCCCTGGCCCCGCATGCAGGCATGTAGGTTCATACACTAACACTTATCTCAGCTGGGCTGCAGGAGTGTCTTAAAAAAAGTTTCCTGTCAAGGAAGCACACAGGCCTGTGGCAGTTATGTCCAGATGTGACTCTGCTGTGTATCTAATACTAATCAAATACCTGACAGGTGTTTTTTTGTTTTGTTTTGCAGGAAGAAATCATTCCTTTTTTCAGCTCTGTATGCTGCCTTTATATTTGGTGGTCGGCACCTAATGAACAAACGAGCAAAATTTGAACTGAGGAAACCACTAGTGCTCTGGTCCCTGAGCCTTGCTGTCTTCAGGTAGGCATTTCTTCACACCAACTGCCTTTGACAGTAGTCCATGAAGAGGGTTTGGGGTTCTTCACATACAACAGCACTGCTAACACGACAGCAGGCTCACCCAGAAATGGCATTTCTTTAGTTCTGCTATTCAGGGTTATGTCCTGATCCACTCCTCACCATTGAAATGATCCCCTTTGACTTGCCAGATCATACGGCGTTTGAAGAGGAGAGAAATCAGTAACCCTCTTGAAGAACAAAGGTGAAAATAAAATGAGGACATGAGAAAAAGCGTTTATCATTGCAATAAATTTACCATGCAAGCTACAAATGAAAATAAACCCATTAAGATGTTAGTCTTGTTCTCACTTACTATTTAGTGTTACATTTATTTGAGAGCATATATGGAATATTTAGTCAAGACTCTGATCTCTATTAGAGTGAGATAAACCTAAAGTCACTGCTTTGATGACAGGTAAATTAGGCCACTGTAATTGAAATCAGAATCTGGTTTCTGGTTATTTCATTGCAAAGAGCTTGTGAATTTAGCAAAAAAGGTGGCTTCATAGGAGAAGGCTATTTTTTAGAGGTGCACATCTCTCTCACAATGTGTTGACCAGATCTGTATCATTGAGTATGTGGAAAGTTGGGTTCAGATTCTTGATAGCTGCTGAAGTCAGGAGTAGAACTGACCAACCTGAATTCCACTTTATCTGGTTAATATGCTGATTTTTAATGAGGCTGAGGATAAATGAATGAACAAACAAATACTTATAAAAATAGCCTTTACAAACACACAAACTTACGGTACAACTTACTAATAACAGGACACAGAAGACCTGAGAATTATCCTTCATTTCAGTGCCTACTGTGGGAGTATGAGTGCTTATACTCATCTCAACTGCATAGAAACCATTTACAAACAGTTATCACACACACAGCTGTATCTTATTTTAATACCAGTATAATAATTACTGATTATATTGGTTCACAAGTACATGAAGCAGGTCTGCTTACTGACCAACTGTGAATGGTGCACGATTTTTCACAGGATGGGAATAGTTTGAGCTGAGAGTTTCTACAGAGTAAAACAAAGCAGGAACAGAGAGGTCTGCTTTCTTTCATGGCTTTTCCTTTTTTTTCCTCCAAAATTGTTCTACCACATTGACATTTTCTAAACCTCTTGCAAGGGAAAATAAATTCTATTTCTAAGTTGTCTCATCAAGCTAGGACATGCTAACAGAAGAACTTTATGTTGTCTTGATTTTAATAGTTCATCGATACCTTTAAAAAATATCCTAGTGCAGACAAAGCTTTAAGCAGTTTGGATAACTTTGAGAGCAAGTTCTAACACTGTGAAAATTTGTATTTTTCATCTGGTTGCATTTGGCACTGTGGCTGTGTGTCTAGCATAGTTTTGCTGTTAAGGCCCTGCAAGCAATTTTCGTCGCTGGTTTCAGAAATGACTGAATTTCAGGAGCTGTTGAATTGGTTCCTAGATGACATTTCATTTGTTGATCAGTTTGTAAAGTGATTTATAGCCAGCAGGATCCCAAAGTGCATCTTCCAATTATACTTTCTTATCGAATGTAACCACTAGCTGACTTATGCAAAGCATTTGTATTTTAATTCCCAGTCCAAGGAGGGGGGGAGCATGATTTCAGACCTTTCCTTTGTAAAAGGTGTCTAGGATGAATTTTAAAATCCCATTATTTTGAGATGGGTCTGTGGCTAACGTTCAGAGTGTGGGGCTTTTAAACAATTTCACTGATTAATTTCCTGTCAAAATCATAAGCAATGCAGAGATCAACGAGTAGCAAGAATATACACTACACTGTAAAAGTGCTGTCTAAATGGACTTTGAAATCAGCATGTTCATTACTTGCTAATTGGAGTTTCCCATCATAATCATATGAAATAGCTAGCGTGTGGCCAGCATGAGCTGTTGAGTGATGCTGGATGAAATCTAAAATGTGGATTTCATGTTTTTGAAGCTACAAGTTGCCAGGATGTACCTGCCACAGAGACCGCCTCTTGCTGTGCCCCACAGTGCAGGCATTTGAGGTGAACTCTGCTTGTGCAGATGAGAAGTGGTGGCCAGAAGGAGACAGTTTGGGAGGGATTCACCACTGCAGGGTTTGCTTCCTCCATCAGCTCAAATAGGGAGCTCAAATTCAGGGACAAGTGTTCCCCAAGCACTGCAGAGCTCGCCCTTTCCTCTGCATGTTGGGAAATAAGACAGCAGGTGGAGAGAGGAGGGATTAACAGGAGTGTGAGATGTTTGGACTACACAGAAGCACTGAGCATTTAAGATGCTGGATTTGCTAGTGGGGACCAGTTGATTTGGAAATTTAGATGGCTAAGCTTGGAAAGCTTTGCTCTTCTGAGGCGCTGAGTAGTATGCAGAAGAGTGGAGTAGCACAGGGGAAAAACAACTCAAAATGTTTGCAGTAAGACAGAGCATGAAACCTCTGTAGCTTCCATAGTGACATACAGTCCCATACAAAACCACCCAAACACAAAATCCCTTGACTTCTTGCCTGGAAAGCAGAGGAAATGCAGAATACTCATTAAAACCTGAGATGGAGACTTATAAAAAGTGTAAATTGGAACATTCATGTCCTGGTGTTTAACCACCACTGTCCTTTCTAGGACCATCGGTCACTCCCAGCCTCATGGATTCTCTTAGAAAGCTGCACTAAGCTTTGAATGCTGTAAAATTTCCAAGTAACTTGGTTCTTTTTTTTTCCTGACTCCTTGCATAACTGCGTGTTTCATTTACATATGCTTGGCCTGAAAGTCATCTCTGCTTCCACTGAAGGTCAATTCAGATAGATTCAGATGCCAGTGTTCTGCCTATAGACTTACTGTGGGTCCAGGAAAATGCTCCTCAACTTTAAAAAGACTTCCTCTTTGGCTTTCTGGGATGCTAAAATGCTATGACTTTTATGATACTTTTCAGAAATTCTAAGTAATGTATTTGTCTGCCTTGAGTGGTTGCACTGAGGCAGAAAAACCTGCCTTGAGAGCCCTCAGCATTCTGCCTCAAGGTCAGTGTGAGGCTTTTTTCCAGAGTCCTTGTTTATCTCCCTTCTTGCACTCCTACCATTTTACCTGCTTCAAATATCCTCAGAAATAGTAGCACTTAGCAGAGGCTGAAAAGATGTGTTTTGGGCTTAAAAAAAAAGGGAAACTGCCTGCCAGGCAATGACATGGTCCTTCTTCAGTATGTATCCTGTACGCCTCGCTCTTGCCAAGATCATATAAATGTGGTAGCAGCTACAGGAGGAAACTTGCCACGCTTATAAATAAACAAAACAACTACACCACCCTACTGAGCTTGCTGAGCATTCAGGAGCTCGGTAAAGAGTGAGTTTTGTGTCAACACTGGTAGCCAGCGGGATTTCTGAGGCAGAAAAGCAGCTTTATTTGCCATTGGAAGTATCGACTAGTTTTGAACATTTTGTCTCTGGAATAAGGTTACCAGTTCTCAGTGAAAACTTCTGTAGGAGCAATGACAGTAAATCTTGCTCTTCACTTGGAAAACACTGTGTAAACATGTTCTTCTGAAATCTTTTGCTGAGAAATTATTCTGAGATATTTTTCTTGTGTTGTTGGGTTGTTGGGTTTTTTTTTGTCCTTAGCAGGTTTGTTGACTTGTTTCAAGTACTGAAGTTTTATTGTCTGAAATGTTTTCAGTCCTTTGTTTTCTACACTTAAGTGTTTTCACCCAGCCTGGTTATGTACCAGGCTCCTGGGGGAGCAGCTCTGTGCTGCTCCTTGTCAATGGGAACCCGCTGCTAGGAAGTTAATTTGTCAGTCTTGTAAGACCCCAAGGAAGCTGTTACTGACTCACCTACACATCAAAGTGACAGTCAGCCCTGTATTTCTGAATATTTCCTGGGGTTAAAAATCCACAAAAACTCATCGAATCTGAGTTGTCACTTTTATATTCATGGCACTTTGAACATGAAGTTAAGGTCATTCGTTCACACCAAAGAATTTTTGACTTGGAGTGTATCAGAAGTGTCCTGCTGGCACCTCTAGGAATCAGCAAGGCTGAGACCAGGACTCTCACAAGAGGATACAAAGTCATTAATTCATGTTTTCATTACATCTCAGCTGGATTTTTGTAATGCCTTTTATCGCCCTTAAGAGTCTGTGTATGGGTAGCATTGCTATCAAGGAGTTTAAACATGTATTTGATCGCCTTTTCGTCACACAAGACAGTAGCATGGCACTGCCATCACTCGCTCTCTATCCTTAAGGGGCTGCCAACAGAAGTCTCAGGATCAAGGTACTAACTAATAATAGTAAAAGGTTGTCTTCCCTATGAAATACTGTCACATCAGTACAGCAGAGGAGGAAACTAAATCATCCAACGTGATGCAGTCATTTGTAGGCAGAGGCTAAGCCTGGCCATGACTGGTGCAGCGAGGTGGGATATCTCTTTGTCTGGCCAAACCACACAACCATAATGCTATTATCATCACTTATATTTTAGTCCAAAATCAGTGATGCTTTGTAGCAGTGGTGGAAAGCAGTTTGTGTCCATACAGGCATTCCAAATGTCTTTCTTCCTGGGAAACACTTTCTCTCGAAGTAGTAGAAATGGTATCAGATGTAGCTGAAAGGTCACAGGTGCTTGCCGTAAAGCTAACTGGAGCCTCAAAAGCAAAGTATCCTGGCAGCAACAGGTCTTGTGTTTGAAAGACAAAACCAGAAAGGCTCCCTGGAAGAAGGTGACTCAATTTGCTGTTGCGAGACTGGTGTAATGGATTTGTTACTGCAAGCATAGCAGCATTTTATAGAAGGCTTTGTACTTGTTCTGCAGAAAGCTCCTGACAAGGAGTCTGCAACACCTCTTTATGTGAGGAACTCAGTCCTGAGCTGAACTGAATGGAAAAGACTGAACATAAGCTTAAAAAAAGGATTTCAATTGCTATGATTTGTGACTCTGAAATATGTTCTCTTATCATGCTTATAAATAGGAAAATTGATGGAAAATGGGTAAAATTTGC